TCAAAGTTTTTGACGGTTGTGTCAGAAATTTAGAGATGTAACGCAATCAACTGAGTCAAAACACGAAATAATCTTTCCTAAAGTATACATATGCGACGTATATTTAACGCAAATCAGATAGCAAATTATAGTCTTAAGATAGCAGTCTGCGAGAGATTCCGCTTAGAAATTGATAAAATAAAAAATATGAAAAATATATGTATACATGGTGTGTGAAAAATCCTAGAAGTTACAAATCTATTTGAGACAATTATCATGATTAGTAAAAGAAAAATTTATCAATTTCTAGAGAAGGATATTCTAAAAACTAGCCTGAAGAAAGAATTAAAAATCTTAAAACGAGGTAAAATATTTGATGATCCTGAAACATGCTTGATAAAGTTAACAGCCTCATCAAATTTATTATTCGTTGTTATTACGAATAAATTAAATAAATAAATTACTGTTGTTAATAAAAAAATTTCAAATAACTTTACTGATAATCTAAAAGAATTCTAAGTCGAACCAAAACAATTTTGAAGAATGTGAATAATGCTTGGTGTAGCTGCAAGTTTTAACAAAACGCCATTGTTACAATGGAATATTCTTGCCTTGTTGATACATACATGATGTATGGTCGTGCCCACTGTGTTATGCAATCAATTATGATAACCATATCACAAGCCATACAGTCGAGCCTCCAGCCACGTCAGGTCGCGCATGAATTTCCCGCGAATGTGTACGTGTTTCACATCGCATGTATTGCACATGTTTATGCAAAATATATTGACTATTTTAATATATTGACATCGGGTCAGAGTTATCAAAAACGAGAGAGATACGAGACAGAGATGAAAAGAGTAAGAATAGCGATGGTAAAACGCGAACAATTTCGAGGAATTAATCACAACCAAAACATGACTTTTATTTCAATTCTATCTCCGATTGTGAAAATGAATGAGAAAATAAAACGTCGAATATCCTTTTCACTTTTTTATTTGGAAAGCTGTTAGCGATGAACGAGCCTAAAATAATCAATTTTTCATTGCAAAATTGTTGTTGATAAATCTGAATTATTTATGCGCAACTTTAAAAAATTTGTCATCAAACTCCTTTTTTTACTACGAAGCTATATCCTCGTCGATAAGTTTTTAACACAGGATCTTGTTCGGTTCGCAACATGCAGAGAATGTGAGTGGCTCTGAAATACAAAAGCTTTCTTTTCAACTGAAAAAGCGTTCGGTCATGATCCTTTTATCGCTGATTCTTCGAGTTAATAGTCTGTCGCGTCGTCTGGCTCGCGCAGAAACCAGTGTATTAATCATTAATTATTCGGATCGAGTGAAGGAAAATGCTGGATGCTGATAAACTTGCGAGTATCTTACCTTGAAGTGAGGCATTAGCTAAATAAATTGTCGGTAATGCTTACTGCAAACGATGTTCAATTTGACTTTATTTGATACATAACTTAATTCAATCTAATTTCAACTGATTCGATGTAACTCAATTTCATGGCATGAAAATCAATTTGATGGAGCGTGGACTCGGTTCAAGTCAATTTAAGTCGACTCTAATTCGATTTAATTCAACTTGATGTAATTGTAATATAGTCCAGTTCAACCTAAGTAAATGTTTAACTGATCTATTAATTCGGTTTGTCTAGTTTAATTTAATGTACTTTAACTCAAAGCCTGACCTAATATAATATAATTTAATCCAACATTAACTCAATTCAATTTAATTCGATTCTACTTCAATGTAACTCAACTTTACTTAATCTAATTTAATTCTATTAAAATTCTATTAAAATTCTTAATTTAATTAACTTTTCTCAACTCTAAACAATTTATTTTAGCCCAGTCTGACCCACATTGTTTGAAAACGCACGCAGTATCAACTTCACTTTATTGTGCGATATTTATAAAAAACAGAAACTAAATAAATAATCGATTTATCAGAGATTGTCTCGTATCGAAGGAAACAGGTCATAAATATAATTAAGTGCGGCCTTACCACAGGGAAGTCCGATACCCTGAAATTAACCGTAATTAACGATTTTTCCAGGAAATTAATCGTTCACGGCACCGATTAAAGGCAACCCAAACAAAGTTCGATGTTCACGAAGTTTCTGTAAACAATAATGTTGCATGAATCGCGTGCAACGGATAGCTTAGATCAAAGTGCAAACGGGCGGAACATAATTTCCTTTCTCTCGACTATCTCCATGTTGTTCTTTTTTTCACGCAAATTTACCTCGCGAATGTCCGACGAGACAGCTTGATCGATTTCCTGATCGATGTTGATTCTACTGCTACGTTGCATCAACTTCGTAAAAAAATATAAAATTTATATTACGTATAAATTGAAATAA